CGCAAAAAATTGGAGGTACACGAAATCTTTAATCAATTGTCTTGTCATTTGATCAAAGACTTGCCAAACACTGGCGGTACATTTTTACCGCTGAGTACCTCGTATTTATAAATACGAGGTACATACGCAAAATTTTGTATCTCGTATTATATACACGAGGTACGAACTCGGAGCCTTGTACCTCCAAAAGAAAAGTATCGCGAATTTAAATGCAGTACCTCCAGATGCAGAAGAGCAGTACGTCCAATTGTATCAGTAAGAGATATAGGCCAGTTCTAACTTGGGAGCTCCGTGGGGGGAGGGGGAAGGGGGGATTTGCGCGGGGGGGGATGACGTCACAGGGGGTAACCGCCGAGATATTTATGTAAACATGGGCCATGTATGTTTACATAAGCAATAATAGCGGCGGGCTCTTTGAGAATATGAGAGAAGGGGGGGGGATGACATCACTTACCGCCGAGATGATTGTTTACGGTTGGGGGGGGATTTTTTGCGGGGGTTGCGCTCCCCCGCCGCCCTCCCGCGCCGTCCCCGCCGCTATTATTGTTTATGTAAACATAAATGGCTCATGTTTACATAAACATCTCGGCGGTTACCCCCTGTGACGTCATCCCCCCGCGCAAATTCCCCCTCGCCCCGCTCCCCCCCTCGGAGCTTCCGAGTTAGAACCGGCCTATCTCTCCTACTTGTATCGCCAAATTTATTGTAAGTATTATATATTCCGTACCTCGTGCTAATGTACCGCGAAAAATACCTTTTTTTAGTGTGTACTTGAAATGTCACTTCTATGTTCAAAAAAATACCTCGAATTTGGAAGAACTAGGTGATACATGATTAAGAGTGTGGTTGCCTCAATCGAAAGATTGAGATTATTGTTGTCCCTTTAATGTGGTTTACAGAATAAATAATGTGATTAAGAGATCTATATCTTGCACACGGTACAGCACTAAAGAATTCAGTTTCATTGCAGCAGTATTATCTGTACTATTGCTCATACTTGAAGAACAAAATAAAATGTGCATAAGTGTGTTACAAGTGTATGTTGCAATTCTTGTTATTGTGAATGATTTTATTTTTAAGTAAATTATAAGGCAATGCTGATGGAAAATCGGAATTACTGACATTACAGTTATATCAATAACTCCGAATTGATTGAACGGAATTGAAAATCCTTTCACGGGATTGAAATATACATGAAATGTAGTGGTGAGGTAAAGAAAGGACTACGCACTAATCATATGGAAAAGTGGCCCCGGCCAAAATAGAAATAACCTATGCGAAAATATTCTTTATGAGGTACTGATCAAAAGTCTCAATGGCATCAACCTTCAACCACCGCTAGTTTTCACACTGTCA